AGATAATCCAATTAGGTGTTTGGCAATCTCCTATTCCAACCTAAATGCTAAACTTCTAGCACCAATATTTCTTTTTTGAATTGTTGAATTACTTTTAAATTTCAACCAAATATTAAAAATTAAGACTAATATCCATATAAAAATATTCACTTCAATCCAAATGATAAATTTTTGAAGATCTTAAAAATACTTACTAATCCTCAAACTCTAATTTTTGTGATCTCAACCCACAAAAATCTTCATATATTTCAATCTAATTATTTGATTGACTTCAAAATTTGTATAAATATTTATAATTAGCACACTAATATATTAATTAAATTTTCTTTATATACACACCATAGAACTCAAGATATCCTAAAATTTTTCAACATATTTTTATTTCTCAAAATCTAAACCAACCAAGAACATTACTAACTTTGAAAATCTCTCAAAAATTCAATATTGATTCAAATGATATAAAATCAGTACTTAAAATCTCTCTTCAAATCTCTCCTCAAATCTTTCTCTCCAATCTACAAAAGAACCTTAGAATCACTATAGGTGCATGGTTTTGTACCTCAAGATTTGATTTTGATCTAGGTTGACAATTAGTCTTTTTCAAGTATCAATTCTTGGCTTCTTGAGATAAATTTTGCTAAAATCTATTCTTAATTTTTTTCTGAATATGCTTATATTATTTAATTTTTTAATCTACTTTATTTTGTTTTATTAATGGTCCTACAAAGTAAGTAGAAGTCTATTTTATAAAAAAAGTAGTATTAGTACTTTTTAGGTTTACTATCTTTTTGACTATTATTTATATTTTTAAGGTAATTTGCTACAATATTTTAAAATAAGATCTTCTATAATATTATATTTTCTTCTTTCTTTTATTCATTAGACAAATTATATCATGATAATGGATATGATATTAGTGAACTCAAATAGGAGCCACTTAAGAATCTTACAAATGTAGTAAAGAAGGTTGATGCTTTTCATCAACAACATCCATCAAAATCAAGATGAATAATAAAAAATCTTTCCTATAAGAGAAATAAATTTTTAGAAAAGATTTCATTCTATCTTCTAATTTTTTTTGTAGTTTATATATATTTGTGACACTAACGAGATAGAAAACTAATAACTAGAAAATTCAACTTAAGAGCTATTGTTTGCTAATATATCATATAAGATATTGCAATTTTTATAATTTTTAAGATAATATAATCAAGATGAAGGTCCTCAAGAATAACAAGTTCTTTGAATAGATAGTAAGATACAATCTATTTGGAATCATGATCTTTAAAGAAATTCTTGATGTTTGGTGATTTTATTGGAGGTAGGAATGATTCTTGATGGTCTTACAAATATTTTAATTGAAGAAAGTTTTGAAAGTTTCAACAATGTTTAAATAATAAGGTGGTCTTTTTGCCTTAAAATAGGACATTATTGATGGCTAAAAAGACATATCAACTACTTTCAAAGGAAACAAAGATCAAAATATGTGATAAATATAATTTGTTGTATTTTAAACTTTCTCAATATATGATGATTTCTCCTTGTACAACTTAATCTTAAAAAGGGAAATAATATCATGGACATGCATATTTATTTAAATAAGAAGTACTAAGTAGAAGATAAATATAGATAGATTTGATATTATCTTGCAGTACAACTTCTTAAAAGCTTCATAGACAAATATTTGACTTTATACATATTTATAGTTGATTGATAGGTTAAAAACTTGGCCAACAACTTAGCCATGTATTGTACATGTAGATAGCTTATGGTACAAGTTTACAATGTAGTATATATATAAGAAACTTACTTTGTAAATTAAGATATGTATCTTATAAATTGAACTGATGTTAGAGGTCAAATAGGATGTCATTATATAATTTCTAGTTGGATATTATTTATAGAGGCAAAAGTGAAGCCTTTTTCACTCTTGCCAATGCCTTTTTAGTCCTTAATCTTGTTTCAAGAGTTTCTAATCTTCTTATCTTTGGCAATAGCCCTTCTAATTCAATACATACCATCTTTGAGTCTTTTCAAGTGACATGAGAGTATATTGTGATTTTCTTTCTTTGAGATTCATGTCCTTGACAATTACTAAGATGGGTGTTTTTAAATACCTCATTTATTATTTTTGATTATAAAAAGAACTTCAAAGTAAATCAAAATCCTAACTAAATGCTTGATGCATACTTTAGTTAAATTTTATATGATACAATAAGATTTAAGTTTTAAAATAAATTAAAGAAAGTAAAAATTATTAAATTAGTATTATTTTGGCATTATCTTGATTTTATTTGATATCCTAGAAAAATAGAATCATTTTACATAAATTAAATATAAAAATTTAAAATCATAGTTGTAGTAAGTAATAGAAGACTAATAAATATCAATGAGGCTTATAAGATTTTTTTTTTCCTTTGATTGTATAATTTTTTTATATAAAAATATAAAAAATAATAGAATACTATTTATTTTTATGTCAAAAATTAAAATATGTAATTCATAAGATTTAAAGTATGTAATTCTTATTATTTTTTTTCTAATATTTTCATATCATTAATTTTTAATATTTTTATATAATTAAATTTCTAAATTTATATATATAATTATCATATTTTAATGTTTTAAATAATTAATGTATAAAAATCTTGTAATTTATTTTTAATTATAAATATAACTTCATTATATATTAAGAATCTATAAACAAATTCTTATTTATGTTTGAATTAGATGTTGAGATATTAGATTTTTTTAGATGAATATATACTAAAAAATAATATGTTTTATTAAATTATTATATTAATAATTTCAATAAATTAAAACGTACATATTTTTGAAAGTTAAATAACATATAGTATTTTTAGCATATAATATATATATATATATATAACTATAATAAAAAATAAGTATAATAATAGTAAAATAAAAGTAAAAAAAATCACAATTGTAAATATATAGCTTTAATTGAAGTATGCATAATTAAGCAAGGATTAATATGGCATCATTTTTGTGGATTATTTTATGTATATTGTGCTTAAAGTATTATATTATTATTAAATTAAGTATAGTTTTATAATATATATTATAAATATTTTTTTAAAAAAATAAATTTATATTTATTTATAGATTTTTAATAAATTAATATATTATAATTTAAATTATTATGTTCAAAATCTTTTAAATGCATGTTTTAAATTTTGTTTCAAATTCTAATTATATTTAAAATATAATAATTGAGAATAGATTAAAAAATATAATTTAAAAATTATTATGTCATTTTTTTACTTATATTAGATGCTGCTTTTATATGAAGATCTATTAGTTTTTTATCTTTATTTGTTCAATTTCAAAACATGATTCCTTGTTTAAACAAAAATAATAATTTAGATATTTCTTAAATTCTTCTTTTATATATATATAGAAGTGGTTATGGTTGTAAATTTTAATACTTTCCTTAGTGTTGAAATAAGAAGTATCTTTTGGAATACTACTAAGCTTTAAATAAAAACCAATATTTAAAATCATAATACACAATTAAAATTTCTTATTTTATGATAGAGTTGAGAATAAAAACTTATAACATGATGTAAAGAACAATAAGTTTTACAAAAATTTAAAGAACTCAAACCTACTAACAATTAATGAATAAATCAACCATTACTACATCAATAGAGGAAGTTGTCATTATCATCTTCTTTAATTAATTTAAAATTAGTTACAATCCAAACAAAAATATTATAACTTTGGTTGAGTCTTACTTTCAAACTTTTAATAACCTTTGCATCTTACCTACAAGCATTTGAAATCCTTGCCTTATTTTTAGAGGAATATTAAATAGACTCAAATTTTTACTAAATTGACCTATCCATGACAAAGAATATGATAATCATAATGAATGTGATTCGTTTTCATTGATTTTGGATCTAATAGTGAAGAAATGAATGTAGAGGACATTTTTTTTTTTTTTTTCATGATAGTTAGGATGGGTGGGTCAGTTTAGTAAATGCTTGAGTCTATTTAACTTCTTCTATTTTCATACAAGCAATCTATGTTTTTGCTCCTCAATTTTTATTGATTCATCTCATGAAACATTCAACCATGTACTTATAACATCGTTCATTGTCATGTATATATACAAGTAATATCATGAACATTATGATCGAGAGGACTGTAGAGTCTTCTACCATAACGGAAGTGGGTTCCAATTTGAATGGCTGCAGACCTAATATTCTGTTCCTGCTCAGGATTTTAAAATGACCAGCTGCTAATAGCAAACAGTAGATGGTGGTGGTATAAATTGGGGCCTTGATATTGAAGTAAGCCGAAGTCCAAATTCAGCTGAATCGTTTTAGAAACATATCCATCTAATTTGAAATTTACCAGCCGGTATTCTTGTGATTGTGATTTATGATTCAAGTGTGAAGCTCCTGCTTCAATACTTCAGTGAGAGCTGAATTGTAACGTAATCAAGTGGGAAGTATATTTACCATTTTGTGGCTCTCCGCTGCTGTTTTTTTGCCATGTGATGGATCTATGATATGTTGTGTGGTTGGTTTGTGCATGAGTTAAACAAGTTGCAAGTCTCATACGTTCAAGGCATATCAGGTTTAGGGTTTAGGGTGGAGTGTGCGTGCGTGGTCAGGACCTTAAACCGCCGACACAAAATTGTCGCTGACTCGACTACATTTATCAACTCTACCGACGTGTCCACTTTCACCAGATATCCTTCCTTAGTGAGACCACACTTTCCCTTTATTCTGTAAATTTAGAGATCTCGTGGTCCAATTTGGCGGTTGCCACGCACTTTTCTTCAATGTTGTGCATTTAGTTTGTATATTGTTTTCTGATACAGCTTGGTATGTCATAGGACTCGCAGCTGTTATGGCTTAGCACACAAATAGGCGCGAGTGTGTTATGATTCAACACGAATAGGTTCACATTGGGAACGCTACCGCATACAGCATAGCTATGGACTACATCATCACCAGCACATATTCGAGGAAAAACATAGAAAGAGATAATTTCTTCTATTTCTTGATCAACGAAGATTGCAAGCGTGGTTTCACTGCTACCAGTGCCTCTTGACATGTGACCTGTTGGTGTCTGGCGGCTTCATTGAGCTCGACCGACAAAATTCAATGAACTAAGACTTGTTCCGACGCTCGAAGTCTACGTGCTTGATCAGCGAAGCATCATGGCTAAACATTAAGAGATATACTTAAACCAGATCTGGGAAGAACTGGTGAAGAGTCAAACAGATTGTACAGATTATGAGACCGAAATAGGCTGGAAAGATGACTGCTCCGCCACCCGAAAACCGTTTCTTAGCGTCACCACTGGAGTAACCCCTAAAATACTGAATACGTGCCAAAGCGTAGATAGTTCCAAGGGATGCTGCAACTAGGGGATACTGCAGGCCGCCTAGGATGAGGACAACCAAGAAAGACGGCATGAATTCTAGATTATTCTGGTGAGCTCGCTGAACGCAATTGAAAGCCTTGGCATCCTTGTGTTCTTTTTCGCTGGCGTACATTGTCGGGTAGGGTACATTGAACCTCCTGCGAGCCTTTCCAACCTGCACAGACATCAACAAGCAATTCGATTCAAATTTCTCTACATAGCAGTAAATTTGCCAAACCAATTGGTTACAGATCCCGACACAACAACAAATTCACGCATAACCCAAATTCACATCGTAGCTTAGGTACACAAAGATTCGAACAAGAAATGGCAATCCAGCTTATAAGCAGACCGCCATACGCTGCTGCGATTCTCCTTGACAGTTTCACTACACTCAACAATCCTAGTAGTACTCCATAAACAGAAAAGTGCGTGAAAACTAACACTCACCATTATCCCCATCCATTGATTAAGAATAACATTGACAACGACCGCAGCTACCACCCACCGATACCCCTCAACCAGTTCCAGCGCCATGGCTTCAAACTTCCCACAATGATTCCCGCATCCACCAGGAGCAGCAAACTCTGAAAGAGAGCGAGATGAAGTGCACTATTTGACAACGGGGGAACACTGAAACAGTGCAAAACTAACGATCCACCAACGCCGTCGACCTGGATGACACACCCAAATGGCGTCCGCAATGAGGCCTGCATTACATAGGGGTTCAATGAATGAGGACTTTTCCATCGCCGACGAGGACAGGAAGGAAACCGCGTTAGAAGCTTCTGCTGGGCTTCCGATGAACTAGGGCTACATCGTCGAGGATTAGGTGTTGTCTCAACCTGGAAAGAAAAGAATTGTGCATCCTTCTATTCTTTGTAGCGAATCCTTTTTAGAATTCTCTTGCTGATGGGTTCCATCGAAGGGCTACTGCAAGACAGTCTGAGGTGTGTCGACAGTGGCTATGCTCCTGGATGAGCATCTGCTCACAGATTCCCTCCCGTAACAAATACGCCACATTTCATTTCAAATAAAATTCGTGAAGGGGATGAGAACGTATGGCAGTTGGATACGAGTACACCAAGCTCATGCATTTCGCTTACAGTACGAGGCAGAAAACGTTTCGAGGTCCTTCACACACAGTCACGATGATCCTGCTGCCCACGCGTAGGAATTGGCCCAAAATGAGAGCAGTACGTACAAAAAACACAGGGATATGATTTGAATCGCTAAACCAACCACAGTAAACACAAGTCATCAGAATAAGCACAAACTCATCTGCACAGTGCGAGCCATTATACACTCAATACTCATCTGTTTATTTTGTTCAAACAGTTACATAAATACGGTACATCTCTACATTCCATTCATAGGGAATGTTTATGGGAATACATGAGCTATGGTTAAGGAAACTGCGTTTGGATTTGAATTGGAATCCAAATTTCAGAGACAAATGAGTTGAGTGTCCATTGCTACCAGTAGATACTCCACAAGTGTCTTTAGAAAGGAGAGTAATGTCCTGATGAGGGTGAGAATTAACTCCCACAGGAAGGAATTGTTGGGCGTAGTAGTTGTCATAATGAGAATGGACTATATATCAAGAGAGTGAAGTTGCAAATCTAGATCTTCTTCACTAGGATTTGACTAGGCTATTGAAATTAACCAGATTGAGTGCATTTCAAAATCTTTCAAATAGGAATCAACGTTCAACGTAAGAGATTAGTGAAGATATCCACAAGTTGTTCCAAGGTAGGGACATATTCTAGTTTCAAGTCTCTACTTGTAATTTTCTTGCTAATAAAGTGGTAGTGGGCAACAATATAATGCATATGCATGCAGATTTATTCCATAGTAATGCTACCAATATTATTGCAGTGAAGGCCTATTGGCTTTTGAATATTAAATTGAAGATCTTGAAATATCATGATGAGCAATGACATATATGTCTATCCTTGGATGCTTTTGCTTGTGCTTTATACTTAGCTTTGAATGAGGATAGAGCCATTGTTGGTTACTTTTTTTAGTACTAACTAATTAAAAATGCTTCTAATTTGAAAATAAAACTTATAATGGATTTTGAATCTTGTGTATTGCTTGTCCACTTTGAATTAATATAGCCTTATAAGGTATTGCATTTTTCTTTTGCAAATAGAATCCCAAACTCTTATGTTTCTCATATGTGTCTTAAAATCCTCTTTGCAATTAGGAGGTGCAAAAGTTGTCATTTTTGCATAAACTAGCTATATATCCTAATAGAAAATTTAATGTCAAATCTTGTAATAGTAAGGTGTAATGAAGAATTGATTAAGCATCAATAGAAAGTGGGATCACATTCTTCTTCTTCCATATATGTTACTAATTTACACCTCTTGTCTATGCACATTGCTATTAGTTGACAATCTTTTATATTGTAGTTTTTGATAATTCTTTTAGCATAGCCTCTTTAAATGAGGAAGATGCCTCTTTACATACATGTTATAGATATACATATTTACTTTGATATTTACTTATATGATTAAGTAGAATTAGATAAAAGTAGATATATTTCATAATGTTTTCTAGAAAAGCTTCTTAGAAGTTTCATAGATGTTGTTTTGACTTTATATATGTTTGTAGTTGCTTGGTAGGATAGAAACTTAGTTAATAAGTTAACCACGTCTTGGTAGCTTGTAGAACAAGCTAACTATGTGGCGTCTATATAGAAAACTTACTTTGTAAATTAAGATACGTTTCTTGCAAAATCAATATAATTTAGAGGTCCTATAAGATATTGCCATGTAGCTCCTAGTTAAGAATATATATAGAAGCAAGAATGAAGCCTTCTTCACTCTTGTCAGTACTTTTTTAGTTTTTAGTCTTATTTCAAGTCTTTCTAATCTTCTTGTCTTTGGCAATAGCTATTCTAGTTTAATACTATATCATCTTTGAATGATTTTTTAGTTCTTTTGAGTGACATAAAAGTATATTGAGGATTTCTTTCTTTGAGCTTCATGTCTTTGATAGTTTGATAAGAGTGCTAGCTCATTATTTTTATCTTATTTTAGAAGTGAGTAGATTACTCTACTTCTATTGTTAAATTTTGAAGGTTACAAATTATCCACCTTTAAACAAACTATTTAGTTTTTTAATACTAAAATGTTTCTTAAAGAGAGAAAATTATCTTTCTTTGTAGAAATTTTTATATGATATTAGAGGTTGTGAATTATCCTCTTATAATTTGACTTCTGGATTTTTTAAGTTATTTGAAAGAGAAGAAAAAATTATAGATGCTATACTTGGCAGAAGTAAGAATAGATTCACAAGTATTCTTGATCTTCAAAAACTTGTTAATATTCTTAGGATAGAAATTTCATGCATCATGAGTATCAACTATGGAAATATTAATTCTATATCTAAAAAAAAAAGTAAATAAACCTCACAACTAAATCTAGGAAGTTTTGTTTTTACAAATACAATAAGATTAAGGATTAGTAAGCCCAAGAAGTTTAACAGCATAAGATCAAAATTTCGAAGATTTTTGCAATAAATCAAGTTATATCTAAGATTGCATCCCTTCCAATACTCTAATGGATTTACTTAAGTTAGATTCATAGGTGCATTTCTATCTAAAAGTATTCTTTCTTGGTTTGTATCTTTGATGGAAAAAAATTCATAAATTCTTTATGATTTGAATTCGTTCTTAGAAGAATTTATGGCAACATTTAGAGAAAGTGATTGAAAAAGAGTAGCAAAAATCAAGTTCTTATTTTCAATCAATTTTGATATGGATTGAAGAATAATGTCAAAGATTTATTATTGATAATATCAAAAGTAAAATCTTTAGAAAAATTTATTCTTCAAGCCATTACATGCAAAAATTGATTATTTGAAAGACATCAAGAATAATAACTTGGTTGAAAAAAAAAACCAAGGAATGATGGTAGTTCTCAAGTTTTCAAAAACTTATTTATTAAGGCCGGAACCAATGTAAATTGATATGGTATGTTTTAAATTCCTTACTGAGCAATAAAAGATTTGATATTGTGAAAAAGGTTTGTGTTTATATTGTAGAAAAAATAATTATAGTATTCAATATTATCCAAAGAAGCAATACAATCACAAAATAAAAAGTGTAATTACTAAAAAAAAAAATATGTGAAAAAACAAGTTTTTCTAGCTACAATAGAGACTGTGCAGTTGAAATCATATGCAACTCCTAGTAAAGGTCTCATTCTCTCTTTAGATCCCTCATCTTATTTTATAATAGATGAATATTAAAGTCCTAAAAATTACAATATCTCTTATTAGATTGAAGAGCCTCAACTTATTTTATAAACAAAGATTTTGTTAAAAAATAAGAAATATCTTAAATAAAAAAAACTAAATTTGTATATATAAAAGTCATAAATGATTATTTATTATCTTCTATAGATATTAATCATGAGATTTTTTCTTTAAATATAGTAATTAAAGATCACAATAATATAATAAAAATTAATATGATAAGATCTTTATCTAATCTAATTATTTTAGGATTATTATAGTTAAAAATATATAATCTTTAAATAGATTAGATTTCTTATATTCTTAACTTTTCTTGTAATTTAATTAAAATTTTGATAGTAAAGTAGAAATAGATAAGCTTAATACATCCAAATCCTTATTGCTAGCTATAAGAACTTTCATGCATGCGGTTGTCATAGATATACATAGGTACTATATAGAAGATTTGGAGTTAGGATGATGAAGTTATAGTTGTTTGAAGTTAAGATTTTTTTTTTACAACATAGTGTTGTTCCTTTGAGGATACAAGGAATTATATGATAGCTTTTGGAGATCAAGAAGTATAGTTGCAAGAGAAAATTCAAGACTTAATTCTTTTATAAAAGTATTATTATATTTGAAGTTTGTATAAAGAAGTTATAGAGTATTGAAGACAATACATGTAATTCAAAGGTAATAAGTGAGTCATTTTATTGTAATAATGGTTGGAGCCATAACTTGAGTTTTTAGACAAATTTTTAGCTCAAATTTTTTAAAAGTGTGAATTAATAGATTAAAAATCTATATTTAAAAAAAATAGTATTTAAGTATTTAATTTGTGAAATATAAACAAAATTAGACTTGAATCTTTTGCTATATAAGTAAGGGTTTAAAGTTTTTACTAGGATTTTGGCAATATTTCAAGATCTATTGTGAATTTGTAATTAAAATTTGTTGTGGTAGTTGCTTAAAGTACATGAATACTTCATGAATTTTTTTAGTTTATTTGGACAATCCAATCATGAAATATGAGCTGTTGAAGTTTCAAAAAAAATTTACTTTAAAGATATATAAGATTTTAGAATATTTTTATCACATTTTGGATGATCTTTAGTACTTAGGGTGAATATATTCATGTAATTGCTCCTATAAGAATAATTTTACATATTAACTTGGTGTTTTTTTTATCTTGAAACTTGATTGAGCAATTAATAACAATAAAAAGCCAAGCACTTTTTTAAGGCAAATTCTCTCTGCTCCAACACTAAAGACTATGAAGATCCATTAAATATTCTATATATCTCTTCTTAAGCTATATAAGAGAAATAATATCTTAATAAAAAGATAAATGTCACTTCTTCTTATAGAAGTGGTTAATAATAAAAAAAAAAATTAAGATGAAAGAAGTCTTAGATTCAAGGCTGCACTAAAATATGTTGAAATATTTTATTCATT